AACCTAACCTGGTTTTACCTAGCCTGTCTGTATCTAACCTGCCTGTACCTAGCCTGCCTGTACCTAGCCTGCCTGTACCTAGCCAGCCAGTACCTAGCCTGCCTGTACCTAACCAGCCTGTACGTAACCAGCCTGTACCTAACCTGCCTGTACCTAACCTGCCTGTACCTAGCCTGCCTGTACTTAACCTGCCTGTACTTAACCTGCCTGTACGTAGCCTGCCTGTACCTAGCCTGCCTGTACCTAACCTGCCTGTACCTAGCCTGTCTGTACCTAACCTGCCGGTACCTAGCCTGCCTGTACTTAATCTGCCTGTACCTAGCCTGCCTGTACTTAACCTGCCTGTACCTATCCTGCCTGTACCTAGCCAGCATGTTCCTAACCTGCCTGTACCTAACCTGCCAGTACCTAGCCTGCCTGTACCTAGCCAACCTGTATCTAGCCTGCCTTTACCTACCCTGCCTATACCTACCCTGCCTGTACCTAGCCTGCCTGTACTTAACCTTCCTGTACCTACCCCGCCTGTACCTAGCCAGCCTGTACCTAGCCTGTCTGTACCTAGCCTGCCTGTACCTAACCAGCCTTTACCTAACCAGCCTTTACCTCGCCTACCTGTACCTAGCCTGCCTGTACGTAACCTGCCTGTACCTAGCCAGCCTGTACCTAGCCTGCCTGTACCTAGCTAGCCTGTACCTAGCCAGCCTGTACCTAACCAGCCTGTACCTAGCCTGCCTGTACCTAACCAGCCTGTACCTAGCCTACCTGTACCCAGCCTGCCTGTTCCTAGCCTGCCTGTACCTAACCTGCCTGTACCTAACCTGCCTGTACCTACCCTGCCTGTACCTAACCTGCCTGTACCTAGCCTGCCTTTACCTAACCTGCCTGTACCTAGCCAGCCTGTACATACCCTGCCTTACCTATCTTTCCTGTACCTAACCTGCCTGTACCAAAGCTGCCTGTACCTAGCCAGCCTGTACATACCCTGCCTGTACATACCCTGCCTGTACATACTTTGCCTGTACATACCCTGCCTGTACCTAGCCTGTCTGTACCTAGCCTGCCTGTACCTAACCCGCCTGTACCTACCCTGCCTGTACCTAACCTGCCTGTACCTACCCTGCCTGTACCTAGCCTGCCTGTACCTAACCTGCCAGTACCTAGCCTTCCTATATCTATCCTGCCTGTACCAAAGCTGCCTGTACCTAGCCAGCCTGTACATACCCTGCCTTACCTATCTTTCCTGTACCTAACCTGCCTGTACCAAAGCTGCCTGTACGTAGCCAGCCTGTACCTACCCTGCCTGTACCTAACCTGCCTTACCTACCCTGGCTGTACCTAGCCTGCCTATACCTAACCTGCCTGTACCAAAGCTGCCTGTACCTAGCCAGCCTGTACATACCCTGCCTGTACATACTTTGCCTGTACATACCCTGCCTGTACCTAACCTGCCTGTACCTAACCTGCCTGTACCTAGCCTGTCTGTACCTACCCTGCCAGTACCTACCCTGCCTGTACCTACCCTGTCTGTACCTACCCTGCCAGTACCTACCCTGCCTGTACCTACCCTACAGTACCTACCCTGCCAGTACCTACCCTGCCAGTACCTACCCTACAGTACCTACCCTGCCAGTACCTACCCTACAGTACCTACCCTGCCAGTACCTACCCTGCCTGTACCTACCCTACAGTACCTACCCTGCCAGTACCTACCCTACAGTACCTACCCTACAGTACCTACCCTACACTACCTACCCTGCCAGTACCTACCCTACAGTACCTACCCTACAGTACCTACCCTAGAGTACCTACCCTGCCAGTACCTACCCTGCCAGTACCTACCCTACAGTACCTACCCTGCCAATACCTACCCTGCCAATACCTACCCTGCCAATACCTACCCTGCCAATACCTACCCTGCCAGTACCTACCCTGCCAATACCTACCCTACAGTACCTACCCTGCCAGTACCTACCCTACAGTACCTACCCTACAGTACCTACCCTACAGTACCTACCCTGCCAGTACCTACCCTACAGTACCTACCCTACAGTACCTACTCTACAGTACCTACCCTACAGTACCGACCCTACAGTACCTACCCTGCCAGTACCTACCCTGCTAGTACCTACCCTGCCAGTACCTACCCTACAGTACCTACCCTACAGTACCTACCCTACACTACCTACCCTGCTAGTATCTACCCTACAGTACCTACCCTGCCAGTACCTACCCTACAGTACCTACCCTACAGTACCTACCCTGCCAGTACCTACCCTGCCAGTACCTACCCTACAGTACCTACCCTACAGTACCTACCCTACAGTACCTACCCTATAGTACCTACCCTGCCAGTACCTACCCTACAGTACCTACCCTACAGTACCTACCCTACAGTACCTACCCTGCCAGTACCTACCCTACAGTACCTACCCTGCCAGTACCTACCCTACAGTACCTACCCTACAGTACCTACCCTGCCAGTACCTACCCTACAGTACCTACCCTGCCAGTACCTACCCTACAGTACCTACCCTACAGTACCTACCCTGCCAGTACCTACCCTGCTAGTACCTACCCTGCCAGTACCTACCCTACAGTACCTACCCTACAGTACCTACCCTACAGTACCTACCCTGCCAGTACCTACCCTGCTAGTACCTACCCTGCCAGTACCTACCCTGCAGTACCTACCCTACAGTACCTACCCTACAGTACCTACCCTGCTAGTACCTACCCTACAGTACCTACCCTGCTAGTACCTACCCTACAGTACCTACCCTGCCAGTACCTACCCTACAGTACCTACCCTACAGTACCTACCCTGCTTGTACCTACCCTACAGTACCTACCCTGCCAGTACCTACCCTGCTAGTACCTACCCTGCCAGTACCTACCCTACAGTACCTACCCTACAGTACCTACCCTACAGTACCTACCCTGCTAGTACCTACCCTACAGTACCTACCCTGCCAGTACCTACCCAACAGTACCTACCCTACAGTACCTAACCTACAGTACCTACCCTACAGTACCTACCCTGCCAGTACCTACCCTACAGTACCTACCCTACAGTACCTACCCTACAGTACCTACCCTACAGTACCTACCCTGCCAGTACCTACCCTACAGTACCTACCCTGCCAGTACCTACCCTACAGTACCTACCCTACAGTACCTACCCTACAGTACCTACCCTGCCAGTACCTACCCTGCTAGTACCTACCCTGCCAGTACCTACCCTACAGTACCTACCCTACAGTACCTACCCTACAGTACCTACCCTGCTAGTACCTACCCTACAGTACCTACCCTGCCAGTAAATACTCTACAGTACCTTCCCTACAGTACCTACCCTACAGTACCTACCCTGCTAGTACCTACCCTACAGTACCTACCCTGCCAGTACCTAGCCTGCCAGTACCTACCCTACAGTACCTACCCTACAGTACCTACCCTGCCAGTACCTACCCTACAGTACCTACCCTACAGTACCTACCCTACAGTACCTACCCTGCTAGTACCTAGCCTACAGTACCTACCCTGCCAGTACCTACCCTACAGTACCTACCCTACAGTACCTACCCTACAGTACCTACCCTGCTAGTACCTACCCTACAGTACCTACCCTGCCAGTACCTACCCTACAGTACCTACCCTGCCAGTACCTACCCTGCCAGTACCTACCCTACAGTACCTACCCTGCCAGTACCTACCCTGCCAATACCCACCCTGCCAGTACCTACCCAGCCAATACCCACCCTGCCAGTACCTACCCTGCCAGTACCTACCCTGCCTGTACCTACCCTGCCAGTACCTACCCTGCCTGTACCTACCCTGCCAGTACCTACCCTGCCAGTACCTACCCTGCCAGTACCTACCCTACAGTACCTACCCTGCCAGTACCTTCCCTGCCTGTACCTACCCTGCCAGTACCTACCCTGCCAGTACCTACCCTGCCAGTACCTAACCTACAGTACCTACCCTGCCAGTACCTACCCTGCCAGTACCTACCCTGCCAGTACCTACCCTGCCAGTACCTACCCTGCCTGAACCTACCCTGCTTGTACCTACCCTGCCAGTACCTACCCTGCCAATACCTACCCTGCCAGTACCTACCCTGCCAGTACCTACCCTGCCAGTACCTACCCTGCCAGTACCTACCCTACAGTACCTACCCTACAGTACCCACCCTGCCAGTACCTACCCTGCCAGTACCCACCCTGCCAGTACCTACCCTGCCAGTACCTACCCTGCCAATACCTACCCTGCCAGTACCTACCCTGCCAGTACCTACCCTGCCAGTACCTACCCTGCCAGTACCTACCCTGCCAGTACCTACCCTGCCAGTACCTACCCTGCCAGTACCTACCCTGCCAATACCTACCCTGCCAGTACCCACCCTGCCTGTACCTACCATGCAAGAACCCCTGCCAGTACCTACCCTGCCAGTACCCACCCTGCCTGTACCTACCATGCAAGAACCCCTGCCAGTGCCTACCCTGCCAGTACCCACCCTGCCAGTACCTACCCTACCAGTACCTACCCTGCCAGTACCTACCCTGCCAGAACCTACCCTGCCAGTACCTACCCTGCCTGTACCTACCATGCAAGAACCCCTGCCAGTACCCACCCTGCCAGTACCTACCCTGCCAGTACCTACCCTGCCAGTACCTACCCTGCCAGAACCTACCCTGCCAGTACCCACCCTGCCTGTACCTACCATGCAAGAACCCCTGCCAGTACCCACCCTGCCAGTACCTACCCTGCCAGTACCTACCCTGCCAGTACCCACCCTGCCAGTACCTACCCTGCCAGTACCTACCCTGCCAGTACCTACCCTGCCAGTACCTACCCTGCCAGTACCTCCCCTGCCCGTACCTAACAACAAGGGGTCACACGTAATGACACTCTGAGAGGTTTGTGCTAAATATATCCATGTCGCAGGTTGTTGTGGTGAGATGTTGGTAGTGTTATTAGTAATGGTAAGGAGTACCTAACAGGTGGGACCCCCGCTGTCGTGGTTGGAGCGAGAGTTCAAGATCAAGAACGTGCCGGCGCATGAGTGTCTGGTCGTGTGTGTGGTCACCCTCCACCACCTGCCCCTCACTCCTTACACGTGAGTCTCTAACCTGCTTGTAACCGGTAGTGCCCGGGGCTCTCTCACCCCCCCCCCTCCTCCTCTCACTCACTCCTCAACCCGTTCTCGCAAATTTAATAAGTCAATATTGACTTATTAGTTGCGTGCATAGGTGACATACTAAACATAATAGTTTCCCTTGAAAAGCTTCATAGAAAACATCGACCTTACCTAACCTACTTAGTATGTCACTCCTACACATTCTCACCCTCCCACTCACTCCTTCTTCTGCAACCTTCCCCTCTCTGTTTCCCTATTACCAACTTTTCTGTTCACTCCCATCACAGTGTTGTGTGTTGACAGTGTTGGACCTTCACAGTGTTCTGTGTTGACAGTGTTGGACCTTCAGTGTTGTGTGTTGACAGTGTGGGACCTTCAGTGTTGTGTGTTGACAGTGTGGGACCTTCAGTGTTGTGTGTTGACAGTGTAGGACCATAACAGTGTTGTGTGTTGACAGTGTTGGACCTTCACAGTGTTGTGTGTTGACAGTGTTGGACCTTCACAGTGTTGTGTGTTGACAGTGTAGGACCATAACAGTGTTGTGTGTTGACAGTGTTGGACCATAACAGTGTTGTGTGTTGACAGTGTTGGACCTTCACAGTGTTGTGTGTTGACAGTGTTGGACCATAACAGTGTTGTGTGTTGACAGTGTTGGACCTTCACAGTGTTGTGTGTTGACAGTGTGGGACCTTCACAGTGTTGTGTGTTGACAGTGTGGGACCTTCAGTGTTGTGTGTTGACAGTGTGGGACCATCACAGTGTTGTGTGTTGACAGTGTGGTACCTTCAGTGTTGTGTGTTGACAGTGTGGGACCATCACAGTGTTGTGTGTTGACAGTGTGGGACCTTCAGTGTTGTGTGTTGACAGTGTTGGACCATCACAGTGTTGTGTGTTGACAGTGTTGGACCATCACAGTGTTGTCTGTTGACAGTGTTGGACCTTCACAGTGTTGTGTGTTGACAGTGTGGGACCTTCAGTGTTGTGTGTTGACAGTGTGGGACCTTCACAGTGTTGTGTGTTGACAGTGTGGGACCTTCAGTGTTGTGTGTTGACAGTGTGGGACCATCACAGTGTTGTGTGTTGACAGTGTGGGACCTTCACAGTGTTGTGTGTTGACAGTGTTGGACCATCACAGTGTTGTGTGTTGACAGTGTTGGACCTTCAGTGTTGTGTGTTGACAGTGTGGGACCATCACAGTGTTGTGTGCTGACAGTGTGGGACCTTCATAGTGTTGTGTGTTGACAGTGTTGGACCATCACAGTGTTGTGTGTTGACAGTGTTGGACCTTCAGTGTTGTGTGTTGACAGTTTGGGACCTTCACAGTGTTGTGTGTTGACAGTGTGGGACCTTCAGTGTTGTGTGTTGACAGTGTTGGACCATCACAGTGTTGTGTGTTGACAGTGTGGGACCTTCAGTGTTGTGTGTTGACAGTGTGGGACCTTCACAGTGTTGTGTGTTGACAGTGTGGGACCTTCAGTGTTGTGTGTTGACAGTGTTGGACCATCACAGTGTTGTGTGTTGACAGTGTGGGACCTTCAGTGTTGTGTGTTGACAGAGTGGGACCTTCAGTGTTGTGTGTTGACAGTGTGGGACCTTCACAGTGTTGTGTGTTGACAGAGTGGGACCTTCACAGTGTTGTGTGTTGACAGTGTGGGACCTTCACAGTGTTGTGTGTTGACAGTGTGGGACCTTCACAGTGTTGTGTGTTGACTGTGTGGGACCTTCACAGTGTTGTGTGTTGACAGTGTGGGACCTTCACAGTGTTGTGTGTTGACAGTGTGGGACCATCACAGTGTTGTGTGTTGACAGTGTTGGACCATCACAGTGTTGTGTGTTGACAGTGTGGGACCTTCAGTGTTGTGTGTTGACAGAGTGGGACCTTCAGTGTTGTGTGTTGACAGTGTGGGACCTTCACAGTGTTGTGTGTTGACAGAGTGGGACCTTCACAGTGTTGTGTGTTGACAGTGTTGGACCTTCACAGTGTTGTGTGTTGACAGTGTGGGACCTTCACAGTGTTGTGTGTTGACAGTGTTGGACCTTCACAGTGTTGTGTGTTGACAGTGTGGGACCTTCAGTGTTGTGTGTTGACAGTGTAGGACCATAACAGTGTTGTGTGTTGACAGTGTTGGACCTTCACAGTGTTGTGTGTTGACAGTGTTGGACCTTCACAGTGTTGTGTGTTGACAGTGTAGGACCATAACAGTGTTGTGTGTTGACAGTGTTGGACCATAACAGTGTTGTGTGTTGACAGTGTTGGACCTTCACAGTGTTGTGTGTTGACAGTGTTGGACCATAACAGTGTTGTGTGTTGACAGTGTTGGACCTTCACAGTGTTGTGTGTTGACAGTGTGGGACCTTCACAGTGTTGTGTGTTGACAGTGTGGGACCTTCAGTGTCGTGTGTTGACAGTGTGGGACCATCACAGTGTTGTGTGTTGACAGTGTAGTACCTTCAGTGTTGTGTGTTGACAGTGTGGGACCATCACAGTGTTGTGTGTTGACAGTGTGGGACCTTCAGTGTTGTGTGTTGACAGTGTTGGACCATCACAGTGTTGTGTGTTGACAGTGTTGGACCATCACAGTGTTGTCTGTTGACAGTGTTGGACCTTCACAGTGTTGTGTGTTGACAGTGTGGGACCTTCAGTGTTGTGTGTTGACAGTGTGGGACCATCACAGTGTTGTGTGTTGACAGTGTGGGACCTTCACAGTGTTGTGTGTTGACAGTGTTGGACCATCACAGTGTTGTGTGTTGACAGTGTTGGACCTTCAGTGTTGTGTGTTGACAGTGTGGGACCTTCACAGTGTTGTGTGTTGACAGTGTGGGACCTTCAGTGTTGTGTGTTGACAGTGTGGGACCATCACAGTGTTGTGTGTTGACATTGTGGGACCTTCACAGTGTTGTGTGTTGACAGTGTTGGACCATCACAGTGTTGTGTGTTGACAGTGTTGGACCTTCAGTGTTGTGTGTTGACAGTGTGGGACCATCACAGTGTTGTGTGCTGACAGTGTGGGACCTTCATAGTGTTGTGTGTTGACAGTGTTGGACCATCACAGTGTTGTGTGTTGACAGTGTTGGACCTTCAGTGTTGTGTGTTGACAGTTTGGGACCTTCACAGTGTTGTGTGTTGACAGTGTGGGACCTTCAGTGTTGTGTGTTGACAGTGTTGGACCATCACAGTGTTGTGTGTTGACAGTGTGGGACCTTCAGTGTTGTGTGTTGACAGTGTGGGACCTTCACAGTGTTGTGTGTTGACAGTGTGGGACCTTCAGTGTTGTGTGTTGACAGTGTTGGACCATCACAGTGTTGTGTGTTGACAGTGTGGGACCTTCAGTGTTGTGTGTTGACAGTGTGGGACCTTCACAGTGTTGTGTGTTGACAGTGTGGGACCTTCACAGTGTTGTGTGTTGACTGTGTGGGACCTTCACAGTGTTGTGTGTTGACAGTGTGGGACCTTCACAGTGTTGTGTGTTGACAGTGTGGGACCATCACAGTGTTGTGTGTTGACAGTGTTGGACCATCACAGTGTTGTGTGTTGACAGTGTGGGACCTTCAGTGTTGTGTGTTGACAGAGTGGGACCTTCAGTGTTGTGTGTTGACAGTGTGGGACCTTCACAGTGTTGTGTGTTGACAGAGTGGGACCTTCACAGTGTTGTGTGTTGACAGTGTTGGACCTTCACAGTGTTGTGTGTTGACAGTGTTGGACCTTCACAGTGTTGTGTGTTGACAGTGTTGGACCTTCACAGTGTTGTGTGTTGACAGTGTGGGACCATCACAGTGTTGTGTGTTGACAGTGTGGGACCTTCACAGTGTTGTGTGTTGACAGTGTGGGACCTTCAGTGTTGTGTGTTGACAGCGTGGGATCTTCACAGTGTTGTGTGTTGACAGTGTTGGACCTTCAGTGTTGTGTGTTGACAGTGTTGGCCCTTCAGTGTTGTGTGTTGACAGTGTGGGACCTTCAATGTTGTGTGGTGACAGTGTGGGACCTTCAGTGTTGTGTGTTGACAGTGTGGGACCTTCAGTGTTGTGTGTTGACAGTGTGGGACCTTCAGTGTTGTGTGTTGACAGTGTGGGACCTTCAGTGTTGTGTGTTGACAGTGTGGGACCTTCAGTGTTGTGTGTTGACAGTGTTGGACCATCACAATGGTGTGTGTTGACAGTGTGGGACCATCACAGTGTTGTGTGTCGACAGAGTGACGCCATCACAGTATTGTGTGTTGACAGTGTGGGACCATCACAGTGTTGTGTGTTGACAGTGTTGGACATCACAGTATTGTGTGTTGACAGTGACACCATCACAGTGTTGTGTGTTGACAGTGTTGGACCATCACAGTATTGTGTGTTGACAGTGACACCATCACAGTGTTGTGTGTTGACAGTGTTGGACCATCACAGTGTTGTGTGTTGACAGTGTTGGACCATCACAGTGTTGTGTGTTGATAGTGTGGGACCATCACAGTATTGTGTGTTGACAGTGTAAGACCTTCACAGTATTGTGTGTCGACAGAGTGACACCATCACAGTGCCGAGAGATACAGATGACACTGACGTCAACCACCCACATGGACACCATCATCATAGCGGCGTCGGCCGCCATCTGTGGCACAGTGATCCTGGCCGTGACGGCCTTCATCTGCTGCAGCAGGGGCCAGGGCGGCCAGCAGGCCCAGCAGGGGGACCCGGCCATACTGAGCCCTGGCTCTCCACCCCTGGCCTCCCTGGGCACGCTGGGCAGGGGCACCAGACCTGACTGGGACAGTGTCTCCATGTACTCACAGAGGTCCATTCCCAGAGCCCGGATGTATCACATGGAGAAAGGTGAGTTCCCTAGTAACTCACACCGAAACTGCAACGTTGGTACAACGTTCGAACAAGTTTTAACACCTCCTAACCAGTTATAACAACCAATATAGCAAGTTGTAACAACGTTCTAATACGTCATAAACACGTTAAGCCAAGATGTAACAACTTTATTACAAGTTGTAACAAGCGGAAAATAGAGACAGTTTCGGTTTGTGTTTCCAGGGGTTACGCTAAAATGTTGCAATAATTTTGTGGCAACTGCTAGCTTGTGTCACAGCCTCGTGCGACGCTTTCACTATGATTTAATATAGCCTCTTCAGGAACTGTTGTTATACTATTTAATTATTTATTTATATACAAAAAGGTATATTGTACTGTTAATACAAGGAGCATACATTATAGTTACTAATATGACCTTCTTGGCTTGGTTACTCCTGTTGATTGACGAATTTCAAGAGCTCGCATGAACTATTTACTCCTTGGACAGGTTCCGTCAACAACGGGTTCGTGTCGGAGGACGCGAGGTCGCACATCTCTCAAGCATCGCTACGTCACCCTTCACGGTCTCACTCCGTGGCCGGAGGTCACAGGTCATACTCGGCCCTGGCTGCTACTTCAACCCACGCCTTCATGCCAGCACTCCACCTCACTACACAAGGTTAACATAAGAGGGAACATCATGCTGACCTATGCTGGGGAACATCATGCTGACCTGGGCTAGGGAACACAATGCTGACCTATGCTGGGGAACACAATGCTGACCTGGGCTGGGGAACATCATGGTGACCTGGGCTGGGGAACATCATGGTGACCTGGGCTGGGGAACACAATGCTGACCTGGGCTGAGGAACATCATGGTGACCTGGGCTGGGGAACATCATGCTGACCTGGGCTGGGGAACACAATGCTGACCTGGGCTGAGGAACATCATGGTGACCTGGGCTGGGGAACATCATGCTGACCTGGGCTGGGGAACACAATGCTGACCTGGGCTGGGGAACATCATGCTGACCTGGGCTGGGGAACACAATGCTGACCTGGGCTGGGGAACACAATGCTGACCTGGGCTGGGGAACACAATGCTGACCTGGGCTGGGGAACATCATGCTGACCTGGGCTGGGGAACACAATGCTGACCTGGGCTGGGGAACACAATGCTGACCTGGGCTGGGGAACATCATGCTGACCTGGGCTGGGGAACACAATGCTGACCTGGGCTGGGGAACATCATGGTGACCTGGGCTGGGGAACACAATGCTGACCAGGGCTGGGGAACATCATGGTGACCTGGGCTGGGGAACATCATGGTGACCTGGGCTGGGGAACACAATGCTGACCTGGGCTGGGGAACATCATGGTGACCTGGGCTGGGGAACATCATGCTGACCTGGGCTGGGGAACACAATGCTGACCTGGGCTGGGGAACATCATGCTGACCTGGGCTGGGGAACATCATGGTGACCTGGGCTGGGGAACATCATGCTGACCTGGGCTGGGGAACATCATGCTGACCTGGGCTGGGGAACATCATGGTGACCTGGGCTGGGGAACATCATGCTGACCTGGGCTGGGGAACATCATGGTGACCTGGGCTAGGGAACACAATGGTGACCTGGGCTGGGGAACATCATGGTGACCTGGGCTGGGGAACATCATGGTGACCTGGGCTAGGGAACACAATGGTGACCTTGGCTAGGGAACACAATGGTGACCTGGGCTGGGGAACATCATGGTGACCTGGGCTGGGGAACATCATGGTGACCTGGGCTGGGGAACATCATGGTGACCTGGGCTAGGGAACATCATGGTGACCTGGGCTGGGGAACATCATGGTGACCTGGGCTAGGGAACACAATGCTGACCTGGGCTGGGGAACATCATGGTGACCTGGGCTGGGGAACATCATGGTGACTTGGGCTAGGGAACATCATGGTGACCTGGGCTAGGGAACACAATGCTGACCTGGGCTAGGGAACATCATGGTGACCTGGGCTAGGGAACACAATGCTGACCTGGGCTGGGGAACATCATGGTGACCTGGGCTAGGGAACATCATGGTGACCTGGGCTAGGGAACATCATGGTGACCTGGGCTAGGGAACATCATGGTGACCTGGGCTAGGGAACATCATGGTGACCTGGGCTAGGGAACATCATGGTGACCTGGGCTAGGGAACACAATGGTGACCTGGGCTAGGGAACATCATGGTGACCTGGGCTAGGGAACACAATGGTGACCTGGGCTAGGGAACATCATGGTGACCTGGGCTAGGGAACACAATGGTGACCTGGGCTAGGGAACACAATGGTGACCTGGGCTAGGGAACACAATGGTGACCTGGGCTAGGGAACACAATGGTGACCTGGGCTAAGGAACATCATGGTGACCTGGGCTAGGGAACACAATGCTGACCTGGGCTGGGGAACATCATGGTGACCTGGGCTAGGGAACATCATGGTGACCTGGGCTAGGGAACATCATGGTGACCTGGGCTAGGGAACATCATGGTGACCTGGGCTAGGGAACATCATGGTGACCTGGGCTAGGGAACATCATGGTGACCTGGGCTAGGGAACATCATGGTGACCTGGGCTAGGGAACATCATGGTGACCTGGGCTAGGGAACATCATGGTGACCTGGGCTAGGGAACACAATGGTGACCTGGGCTAAGGAACATCATGGTGACCTGGGCTAGGGAACACAATGGTGACCTGGGCTAAGGAACATCATGGTGACCTGGGCTAGGGAACACAATGGTGACCTGGGCTAAGGAACATCATGGTGACCTGGGCTAGGGAACACAATGGTGAACTGGGCTAGGGAACATCATGGTGACCTGGGCTAGGGAACACAATGCTGACCTGGGCTGGGGAACACAATGCTGACCTGGGCTAGGGAACACAATGGTGACCTGGGCTAAGGAACATCATGGTGACCTGGGCTAGGGAACACAATGGTGAACTGGGCTAGGGAACATCATGGTGACCTGGGCTAGGGAACACAATGCTGACCTGGGCTAGGGAACACAATGCTGACCTGGGCTAGGGAACACAATGCTGACCTGGGCTGGGGAACACAATGCTGACCTGGGCTAGGGAACACAATGCTGACCTGGGCTAGGGAACACAATGCTGACCTGGGCTAGGGAACACAATGCTGACCTGGGCTGGGGAACACAATGCTGACCTGGGCTGGGAATACAAATATACCCTCAGGAGTATCGTAGCGTAACAAAGTCAGTATGATGTATACTCTTTAGTTCTCGACCACACCAACTGAGGCGCTTTTAAATAACTTTACTTCTGGGTCACGTTAGCCAAAGTCACTTACTATGATATTTGTGTTGAGTTTGGCTGTTGGCGCCAGAGACGACAGGAAGAATGCAACACTAACCATGAACTTCCCTCATGTTTCACTGTAATTTAACACACAGTTACATTTAGTTAAAGATCTGGATATTATGACATGTTCATTACAAATAACTTATTAATATAATTCTATATAACAAAGTTCATAATATATTTTGCAGGTGTTAATAAAACTTGATTCTCAACAGAGCCAAAACCATTATTTTTGAAAACGTATTGAAAATGGTTATGGAACAAATGTTATGTATTCCCTGAGGGGCAGAAAGGTCCACCGCGGATGTATTCCCTGAGGGGCAGAAAGGTCCACCGCGGATGTATTCCCTGAGGGGCAGAAAGGTCCACCGCGGATGGTAAACATATCCACAAGAAAATCAATAACGGTAAAATATTATTGCATTTAATTTCAGGTCAAGTAGGAACTAGTTCGGGTGCTCGCATCACGTGCACTATGGTGCTAGTGCAGTCACGTGCACTATGGTGCTAGTGGAGTCACGTGCACTATGGTGCTAGTGGAGTCACGTGCACTATGGTGCTAGTGCAGTCACGTGCACTATGGTGCTAGTGCAGTCACGTGCACTATGGTGCTAGTGGAGTCACGTGCACTATGGTGCTTGTACAGTCACGTGCACTATGGTGCTAGTGGAGTCACGTGCACTATGGTGCTAGTGCAGTCACGTGCACTATGGTGCTAGTGCAGTCATGTGCACTATGGTGCTAGTGGAGTCACGTGCACTATGGTGCTTGTACAGTCACGTGCACTATGGTGCTAGTGGAGTCACGTGCACTATGGTGCTTGTACAGTCACGTGCACTATGGTGCTTGTACAGTCACGTGCACTATGGTGCTTGTACAGTCACGTGCACTATGGTGCTTGTACAGTCACGTGCACTATGGTGCTTGTACAGTCACGTGCACTATGGTGCTTGTACAGTCACGTGCACTATGGTGCTTGTACAGTCACGTGCACTATGGTGCTTGTACAGTCACGTGCACTATGGTGCTAGTGGAGTCACGTGCACTATGGTGCTAGTGCAGTCACGTGCACTATGGTGCTTGTACAGTCACGTGCACTATGGTGCTTGTACAGTCACGTGCACTATGGTGCTTGTACAGTCACGTGCACTATGGTGCTAGTGGAGTCACGTGCACTATGGTGCTAGTGCAGTCACGTGCACTATGGTGCTTGTACAGTCACGTGCACTATGGTGCTTGTACAGTCACGTGCACTATGGTGCTTGTACAGTCACGTGCACTATGGTGCTAGTGCAGTCACGTGCACTATGGTGCTTGTACAGTCACGTGCACTATGGTGCTTGTACAGTCACGTGCACTATGGTGCTTGTACAGTCACGTGCACTATGGTGCTAGTGGAGTCACGTGCACTATGGTGCTAGTGCAGTCACGTGCACTATGGTGCTTGTACAGTCACGTGCACTATGGTGCTTGTACAGTCACGTGCACTATGGTGCTTGTACAGTCACGTGCACTATGGTGCTAGTGCAGTCACGTGCACTATGGTGCTTGTACAGTCACGTGCACTATGGTGCTTGTACAGTCACGTGCACTATGGTGCTTGTACAGTCACGTGCACTATGGTGCTTGTACAGTCACGTGCACTATGGTGCTTGTACAGTCACGTGCACTATGGTGCTAGTGCAGTCACGTGCACTATGGTGCTTGTACAGTCACGTGCACTATGGTGCTTGTACAGTCACGTGCACTATGGTGCTTGTACAGTCACGTGCACTATGGTGCTTGTACAGTCACGTGCACTATGGTGCTTGTACAGTCACGTGCACTATGGTGCTTGTACAGTCACGTGCACTATGGTGCTAGTGCAGTCACGTGCACTATGGTGCTTGTACAGTCACGTGCACTATGGTGCTAGTGCAGTCATGTGCACTATGGTGCTAGTGAAGTCACGTGCACTATGGTGCTAGTGGAGTCACGTGCACTATGGTGCTAGTGCAGTCACGTGCACTATGGTGCTAGTGCAGTCACGTGCACTATGGTGCTAGTGCAGTCACGTGCACTATGGTGCTTGTACAGTCACGTGCACTATGGTGCTAGTGTAGTCACGTGCACTATGGTGCTAGTGCAGTCACGTGCACTATGGTGCTAGTGCAGTCATGTGCACTATGGTGCTAGTGCAGTCACGTGCACTATGGTGCTAGTGGAGTCACGTGCACTATGGTGCTAGTGGAGTCACGTGCACTATGGTGCTAGTGGAGTCACGTGCACTATGGTGCTAGTGCAGTCACGTGCACTATGGTGCTAGTGGAGTCACGTGCACTATGGTGCTAGTGCAGTCACGTGCACTATGGTGCTAGTGGAGTCACGTGCACTATGGTGCTAGTGGAGTCACGTGCACTATGGTGCTAGTGCAGTCACGTGCACTATGGTGCTAGTGCAGTCATGTGCACTATGGTGCTAGTGGAGTCACGTGCACTATGGTGCTAGTGGAGTCACGTGCACTATGGTGCTTGTACAGTCACGTGCACTATGGTGCTAGTGCAGTCACGTGCACTATGGTGCTAGTGCAGTCACGTGCACTATGGTGCTTGTACAGTCACGTGCACTATGGTGCTAGTGGAGTCACGTGCACTATGGTGCTAGTGCAGTCACGTGCACTATGGTGCTTGTACAGTCACGTGCACTATGGTGCTAGTGGAGTCACGTGCTCTATGGTGCTAGTGCAGTCACGTGCACTATGGTGCTTGTACAGTCACGTGCACTATGGTGCTAGTGGAGTCACGTGCACTATGGTGCTAGTGGAGTCACGTGCACTATGGTGCTAGTGCAGTCACGTGCACTATGGTGCTAGTGCAGTCATGTGCACTATGGTGCTAGTGGAGTCACGTGCACTATGGTGCTTGTACAGTCACGTGCACTATGGTGCTAGTGCAGTCACGTGCACTATGGTGCTAGTGCAGTCACGTGCACTATGGTGCTTGTACAGTCACGTGCACTATGGTGCTAGTGGAGTCACGTGCACTATGGTGCTAGTGCAGTCACGTGCACTATGGTGCTTGTACAGTCACGTGCACTATGGTGCTTGTACAGTCACGTGCACTATGGTGCTTGTACAGTCACGTGCACTATGGTGCTTGTACAGTCACGTGCACTATGGTGCTTGTACAGTCACGTGCACTATGGTGCTTGTACAGTCACGTGCACTATGGTGCTTGTACAGTCACGTGCACTATGGTGCTAGTGGAGTCACTTGCACCATGGTGCTTGTACAGTCACGTGCACTATGGTGCTAGTGGAGTCACGTGCACTATGGTGCTAGTGGAGTCACGTGCACTATGGTGCTTGTACAGTCACGTGCACTATGGTGCTAGTGGAGTCACGTGCAATATGGTGCTAGTGGAGTCACGTGCACTATGGTGCTAGTGCAGTCACGTGCACTATGGTGCTAGTGGAGTCACGTGCACTATGGTGCTAGTGCAGTCACGTGCACTATGGTGCTAGTGCAGTCACGTGCACTATGGTGCTAGTGCAGTCACGTGCACTATGGTGCTAGTGGAGTCACGTGCACTATGGTGCTAGTGCAGTCACGTGCACTATGGTGCTAGTGCAGTCACGTGCACTATGGTGCTAGTGCAGTCACGTGCACTATGGTGCTAGTGCAGTCACGTGCACTATGGTGCTAGTGCAGTCACGTGCACTATGGTGCTAGTGGAGTCACGTGCACTATGGTGCTAGTGCAGTCACGTGCACTATGGTGCTTGTACAGTCACGTGCACTATGGTGCTAGTGGAGTCACGTGCACTATGGTGCTAGTGCAGTCACGTGCACTATGGTGCTAGTGCAGTCACGTGCACTATGGTGCTTGTACAGTCACGTGCACTATGGTGCTTGTACAGTCACGTGCACTATGGTGCTTGTACAGTCACGTGCACTATGGTGCTTGTACAGTCACGTGCACTATGGTGCTTGTACAGTCACGTGCACTATGGTGCTTGTACAGTCACGTGCACTATGGTGCTTGTACAGTCACGTGCACTATGGTGCTAGTGGAGTCACTTGCACCATTGTGCTTGTACAGTCACGTGCACTATGGTGCTAGTGGAGTCACGTGCACTATGGTGCTAGTGGAGTCACGTGCACTATGGTGCTAGTGCAGTCACGTGCACTATGGTGCTAGTGCAGTCACGTGCACTATGGTGCTAGTGCAGTCACGTGCACTATGGTGCTAGTGCAGTCACGTGCACTATGGTGCTAGTGCAGTCACGTGCACTATGGTGCTTGTACAGTCACGTGCACTATGGTGCTAGTGCAGTCACGTGCACTATGGTGCTTGTACAGTCACGTGCACTATGGTGCTAGTGGAGTCACGTGCACTATGGTGCTAGTGCAGTCACGTGCACTATGGTGCTAGTGCAGTCACGTGCACTATGGTGCTTGTACAGTCACGTGCACTATGGTGCTAGTGGAGTCACGTGCACTATGGTGCTAGTGCAGTCACGTGCACTATGGTGCTAGTGCAGTCACGTGCACTATGGTGCTAGTGGAGTCACGTGCACTATGGTGCTAGTGGAGTCACGTGCACTATGGTGCTAGTGCAGTAACGTGCACTATGGTGCTAGTGCAGTCACGTGCACTATGGTGCTGGTTCAGTCACGTGCACTATGGTGCTAGTGCAGTCACGTGCACTATGGTGCTAGTGGAGTCACGTGCACTATGGTGCTTGTGCAGTCACGTGCACTATGGTGCTAGTGGAGTCACGTGCACTATGGTGCTAGTGGAGTCACGTGCACTATGGTGCTGGTGCAGTCACGTGCACTATGGTGCTGGTGCAGTCACGTGCACTATGGTGCTAGTGGAGTCACGTGCACTATGGTGCTTGTGCAGTCACGTGCACTATGGTGCTTGTGCAGTCACGTGCACTATGGTGCTGGTGCAGTCACGTGCACTATGGTGCTAGTGCACTCACGTGCACTCTGGTGCTTGTACAGTCACGTGCACTATGGTGCTAGTGGAGTCACGTGCACTATGGTGCTTGTACAGTCACGTGCACTATGGTGCTAGTGCAGTCACGTGCACTATGGTGCTAGTGTAGTCACGTGCACTATGGTGCTTGTGCAGTCACGTGCACTATGGTGCTAGTGTAGTCACGTGCACTATGGTGCTTGTACAGTCACGTGCACTATGGTGCTAGTGCAGTCACGTGCACTATGGTGCTTGTACAGTCATGTGCACTATGGTGCTATTGCAGTCACGTGCACTATGGTGCTTGTACAGTCACGTGCACTATGGTGCTAGTGGAGTCACGTGCACTATGGTGCTTGTACAGTCACGTGCACTATGGTGCTAGTGCAGTCACCTGCACTATGGTGCTTGTACAGTCACGTGTACTATGGTGCTTGTACAGTCACGTGCACTATGGTGCTTGTACAGTCACGTGTACTATGGTGCTTGTGCAGTCACGTGCACTACGGTGCTAGTGGAGTCACGTGCACTATGGTGCTTGTACAGTGACGTGCACTATGGTGCTAGTGGAGTCACGTGCACTATGGTGCTTGTACAGTCACGTGCACTATGGTGCTAGTGGAGTCACGTGCACTATGGTGCTTGTACAGTCATGTGCACTATGGTGCTAGTGCAGTCACGTGCACTATGGTGCTAGTGTAGTCACGTGCACTATGGTGCTTGTGTAGTCACGTGCACTATGGTGCTTGTACAGTCACGTGCACTATGGTGCTAGTGCAGTCACGTGCACTATGGTGCTAGTGCAGTCACGTGCACTATGGTGCTTGTACAGTCACGTGCACTATGGTGCTTGTACAGTCACGTGCACTATGGTGCTTGTACAGTCACGTGCACTATGGTGCTAGTGCAGTCACGTGCACTATGGTGCTAGTGCAGTCACGTGCACTATGGTGCTTGTACAGTCACGTGCACTATGGTGCTAGTGCAGTCACGTACACTATGGTGCTTGTACAGTCACGTGCACTATGGTGCTAGTGCAGTCACGTGCACTATGGTGCTTGTACAGTCACGTGCACTATGGTGCTTGTACAGTCACGTGCACTATGGTGCTTGTACAGTCACGTGCACTATGGTGCTAGTGCAGTCACGTGCACTATGGTGCTTGTACAGTCACGTGCACTATGGTGCTTGTAAAGTCACGTGCACTATGGTGCTTGTACAGTCACGTGCACTATGGTGCTAGTGCAGTCACGTGCACTATGGTGCTAGTGCAGTCACGTGCACTATGGTGCTTGTGCAGTCATGTGCACTATGGTGCTAGTGCAGTCACGTGCACTATGGTGCTAGTGCAGTCACGTGCACTATGGTGCTTGTGCAGTCATGTGCACTATGGTGCTAGTGCAGTCACGTGCACTATGGTGCTAGTGCAGTCACGTGCACTATGGTGCTTGTACAGTCACGTGCACTATGGTGCTTGTGCAGTCACGTGCACTATGGTGCTTGTGCAGTCACGTGCACTATGGTGCTAGTGCAGTCACGTGCACTATGGTGCTAGTGCAGTCACGTGCATTATGGTGCTAGTGCAGTCACGTGCACTATGGTGCTTGTGCAGTCACGTGCACTATGGTGCTTGTACAGTCACGTGCACTATGGTGCTAGTGGAGTCACGTGCACTATGGTGCTTGTGCAGTCACGTGCATTATGGTGCTAGTGCAGTCACGTGCACTATGGTGCTTGTGCAGTCACGTGCACTATGGTGCTTGTACAGTCACGTGCACTATGGTACTAGTGGAGTCACGTGCACTATGGTGCTTGTGCAGTCATGTGCACTATGGTGCTTGTGCAGTCACGTGCATTATGGTGCTAGTACAGTCACGTGCACTATGGTGCTAGTGGAGTCACGTGCACTATGGTGCTTGTGCAGTCACGTGCACTATGGTGCTAGTACAGTCACGTGCACTATGGTGCTTGTGCAGTCACGTGCACCATGGTGCTTTTACAGTCACGTGCACTATGGTGCTGGTGCAGTCACGTGCACTATGGTGCTTGTGCAGTCACGTGCACTATGGTGCTTTTACAGTCACGTGCACTATGGTGCTTGTACAGTCACGTGCACTATGGTGCTTGAATGTGACATGACTGGAAGTGTAGATTAATTCCTCGTCCTACTTACAGAACTCAGCATGTCGCAGGGGTCGCTGGGCTCCCCGCAGCTGGGTGCTGGGAGGCTACAGTCCCTGCCTGTCAGCCCCAGCCAGGTCTGGCTGGGCGCTCCGGTCACCTCCACTGCCGCCAGAAGGTTTACCAGAGCCAAGTCTTCCCGCAGCGAGAGTCGCCATCAGAGGTCCAAGTCGGGTGAGCGCTCTACCTCGCGACACAGTCATGCGGGGTCCTTGCGGCACAGTCATGCGGGGTCCTCGCGACACAGTCATGCAGGGTCTGCCCACTCCTTAACAGGCTACGACACTGACGGCTGCACAGACCATGACATGGATATCTACATCGCAAGAAATCCTACTCGAGGGGGGCTTGTTCAACTGTAGACCAGATCTCTGATCAAACTAAGTTCTAGCGAAAGAATCTTTTGGTGTGTATCGAGTACAAAGGGCAGGGTTGTAAGAGCCGTCCGGGACCAGGGTAATGGGGCCGTCCAGGATCATGGCTGATGAAACAAACTTCCTCCTGGACGATTGTCGTTGTGCAGGTTTGGGTCAAGAAAAGATGGCTCTCTTCAGTTAATTGGGAATTGATGTTAAATAGGTACAGGCCACAACGTCATTAGTGCTCGTTATTAAACCACAACGTTATTAGTGTCATTAGTACCGAACTTTTTACTTATAATAAAAATGTTGTTTATAACTGTCAGAGACAAAATAAAAGTGTTTACTGCCTCCCAAGTGCTTCCTTCGCTCATTACCTGCGGTGTTATGCCAGACTTCTCAGTAAACCTACACTACCGTACCCACAGGTGTCAAGTGCAACGTATGGATTGAAATGCAATGAGTAATGTCATTTTCTCAGATCAATTCATATTTTGCAAGAATGGAACTTCTTTCACATAAGCAATCCGTTTTGGAATGAAGTTCTCTTACATATGCACTCCACTGTTGCAATGTTATTCTCATACAAATGTGTTCAGCACTTGTAATGTTATCAACCTTGGAAAGATTGATAAAGATTAAGCCACCCAAGAGGTGGCACGGGCATGAATAGCCCGTAAAGCTTGGAAAGGCTCGTCTGACTCAAGTTGATTTTCATGAATGGAATTGATATACATATAATTTATGTAAATTAATGTACAGCATAAATATAATTTTAATTAGAAATATTATGTAAAAATAATCCATAACAAAAATATTTATTAGTCTCTATTTTGCATTATATAATTTTGTTTCATAAAACAGTTACTTACTGATGTTGAGAGGTTGTGGCTATGGTGGTGGTGGTGGTGTGTGTGTGTGTGTGTGTGTGTGTGTGTGTGTGTGTGTGTGTGTGTGTGTGTGTGTGTGTGTGTGTGTGTGTGTGTGTGTTGGTGGTGTGTGTGTGTGTGTGTGTGTGTGTGTGTGTGTGTGTGTGTGTGTGTGTGTGTGTGTGTGTGTGTGTGTGTGTGTGTGTGTGTGTGTGTGTGTGTGTGTGTGTGTGTGTGTGTGTGTGTGTGTGTGTGTGTGTGTGTGTGTGTGTGTGTGTGTGTGTGTTGGTGGTGTGTGTGTGTACTTACCTAATTGTGCTTGCGGTGGTAAAGCTCTAGCTCTTTGGTCCCGCCTCTCAACCGTCAATCAACAGGTGTACAAGTTCCTGAGCCTATTGGGCTCTATCATATCTACACTTGAAGCTGTGTGTGGAGTCAGCCTCCGCCACATTACTTCCTAATGCATTCCATTTGTCTACTACTCTAACACTGACAAAATTCTTTCTAACGTCTCTATGGCTCATTTGGGCACTCAATTTCCACCTGCGTCCCCTAGTGCGTGTGCCCCTTGTGTTAAAAAGTCTGTCTTTACCCTATCAATTCCTCTGAGAATCTTGTATGTGGTGATCATGTCCCCTCTAACTCTACTGTCTCCCAGTGACGTGAGGTTTAATTCCCGTAGTCTCTCCTCGTAGCTCATACCCCTCAGTTCTGGTACTAGTCTGGTGGCAAACCTTTGAACCTTTTCCAGTTTAGTCTTATGCTTGACTAGATATGGACTCCATGCTGGAGCCGCATATTCCAGGATTGGTCTGACATATGTGATATATAATGTTCTGAAAGATTCCTTACACAAGTTTCTAAAGGCCATTCTTGTATTAGCCCTCCTGGCATATGCCGCTGATGTTATCCTCCTGATATGAGCTTCAGGGGACAGGTCTGGCGTGATGTCAACCCCCAGGTCTTTCTCTCTCTGACTCTTGCAGGATTTCATCTCCCAAATGATACCTTGTATCTGGTCTCCTGGTCCCTACACCTATCTTCATTACATTACATTTGCTTGAGTTAAACTTTAACAAACATTCCTGCATTCCTGCAGGGGAGCCGGTCGGCCGAGCGGACAGCACGCTGGACTTGTGATCCTGTGGTCCTGGGTTCGATCCCAGGCGCCGGCGAGAAACAATGGGCAGAGTTTTTTTCACCCTATGCCCCTGTTACCTAGCAGTAAAATAAGTACCTGGGTATTAGTCAGCTGTCACGGGCTGCTTCCTGGGGGTGGAGGCCTGGTCGAGGACCTGACCGCGGGGAAACTAAAAAGCCCCGAAATCATCTCAAGATAACCTCAAGATAGCTTGTCCAGGTCTTCTTGAAGCCTCAAGCTGTCCTCCTCTGTCTTAATCCTTCTTATAATTTTGGCGTCGTCAGCAAACATTGAGAGGAAAGAGTCTATACCCTCTGGGAGATCATTTACGTATATCAAAAACAGGATAGCCCGAGTACAGAGCCCTGTGGGACTCCACTGGTGACTTCACGCCATTCTGAGGTCTCACCCCTCACTGTAACTCTCTGCTTGCTATTGCTTAGGTACTCCTTTATCCACTGGAGCGCCCTACCAGTTACTCCTGCCTGTTTCTCCAGCTTATGCATCAGCCTTTTATGGGGTACTGTGTCAAAGGCTTTCCGACAGTCCAAAAAAATGCAGTCTAGCCATCCTTCTCTTTCTTGCTTAATCTTTGTCACCTGATCGTAGAATTCTATTAAGCCTGTAAGGCAAGATTTACCCTATCTGAACCCATGTTGATGGGTTGTCACGAAGTCCCTTCTCTCCAGATGTGTTACTAGTTTTTTCTCACAATCTTCTCCATCACCTTGCATGGTACACAAGTTAAGGACACTGGCCTGTAGTTCAGTGCCTCTTGTCTGTCGCCCTTTTTGTATATTAGGACTACATTAGCCGTCTTCCATATTTCTGGTAGATCTCCCGTTCCCAGTGACCTACTATACACTATGGAGAGTGGCAAACAAAGTGCTCCTGCACACTCTTTCAATACCCATGGTGAGATTCTGTCCGGCCCAACAGCCTTTCTCACGTCCAGCTCCAATAGGTGCATCTTGACCTCATCTTTTGTAATTTCGAACCCTTCCAAGGTCGCCTGGTTTGCTGCCACCTCTCCTAGCGCTGTGACCTCTCCTTGTTGTATTGTAAAGACCTCTTGGAACCTTTCGTTGATTTCGTCACATACCTCTTTGTCATTCTCTGTCTACCTGTCCTCACCCATCCTAAGTTTCATCACCTGTTCCTTCACTGTTGTCTTCCTCCTGATGTGACTGTTTAGTAGCTTTGGTTCGGTCTTGGCTTTATTAGCTATATCATTTTCATACCATTTCTCAGCTGCTCTTCTCACACTAACATACTCGTTCCTGGTTCTCTGGTATCTCTCTCTACTTTCTGGTGTTCTGTTATTACGGAGGTTCCTCCACGTCCTTTTGTTCAGCTCCTTTGCTTTCATACATTCCCTACTAAACCACGGATTCTTCGTTTGCTTCTCGGGTTTTTCACCGTCGGGCCGGGATAAACCTGTTTACCGCCTCCTGACACTTTTGGGTGACATAGTCCATCATGTCTTGTACGGACTTAGTTTTGAGTTTGTGTCCCATGGCATATCCCTTAGGAATTTATTTATCTCCTCATAGTTTCCCTTTCGGTATGGACCCTTTGTTTCCCAGTTCTTTTTTGGGGGAGATAATTCCTAGCTCAACCAGGTACTCAAAGCACAACACACTATGATCACTCATTCCCAAGGGGGGCTTCCAACTTAACTTCCTTTATATCCGACTCATTTAGGGTAAATATCAGATCAAGCAAAGCTGGTTCATCCTCTCATTCTTGTTAGTCCCTTGACGTGCTGACTTAGAAAGTTTCTTGTTGCCCCGTCCAGCAGCTTAGCTCTCCATGTGTCTGGTCCTCCATGTGGATCTCTGTTCTCCCAATCTATCTTCCCGTGGTTGAAATCTCCCATGATTAGTAGTCTAGATCCGTTCCTGCTAGCCACAGAAGCTGCTCTCTCTATTATATTGATGGTGGCCAAGTTGTTTCTATCATATTCCTATCTGCGTCTTCTGTCGTTCGGTGGGGGGTTATATATGACTACTACTATGATTTTCTGTTTTGTTTTATTTGTAATTCCATCTGTGTTAGTGTACATTGCCTTGAAGCTCACTTTCTTCTGTTCATTTCCTTGCCCCCTTCTTGGTAAGCATTCTGCTGGTGGGGAAAGCTGTTCCCTGGGTGTGAAGATCTGTGAGTGGGTTTGCAGGGTCTTAGAGGATTTTGGGGTGGGGGTGAGGGTTCAAGGGAAGGGGGTACATGTAGGGTATGGGGTAAGGAGATAGGGGGGACATGGAGATACTGAGTGAAGAAGGAGGGGGGGGGGGAAAGGGATAGGGAGGGTATGGGATGAAGGTGGAGGGGGGACAGAGGGGAGAAGACATGAGGGGGGACATGGTGGGAATGGGGGAGGGGGTGACAGGGTCGAAATGGGGTGGGGGGAGGAGGGAGGGTTGGGTGAGCATTTGAGTGGGGGCAGATAGGGTGAGGGGAAGGGAGGGTTTCTATGCAGAGGGGGGTGGTGGTGTTGCCCTCCCCTCTGGTGTTGCTGGGATGTTGGTTGTGGGTTCCCCTCTTGTTTCTGGGAATGTTGTATTGGGGGCTTTGATTTCCTGGTTTACTCCTCTCTCCCTGCACTTCCTCCTTGCCTCTGCTGCCCTGGCTCTCTCCTCCTTCATCCTGTCCCTCTGCAGGAATACTTTCTTGTATTCCTCCACATACTGCAGATGACTTCCTTTCTAAAATAACCTCCTTCGTGGTCTCGTTTGTAAACACCACCTTTACCAGTCGGTTTCTGTCATTGTTGTACCAGCCCAACCTGAAAACCTTCTCAATGTTTTGTTCAGCCCCTTCCATCTGTAACCCCTTCAGTATCCCATGTTCTGCCTCTCTGTCCTTGCTATTCCATTCCTGCCTATTGGATCCTTCCTGTTCTTCGATGCCTATAACTATCACTGATCTTTTTCTTTCTAGCAGCTGACTAGTGCACCTTGCTGCTTTCTGTGAGGTAGCTGCTTGCATGGCTACCTCCCTCATCACATTTTATTGGTAATCCCATCGATGTTTCAATACATTACCTTGAAGCTCACTTTCCTATATCCATTTTTACCCTCCCTCCCCACAAGTGTAGGAAGTTGTTCCATAGGTATTTATACTTTGGTAGGCTCATCCTTCTGTGAGGTAGTTGCCAGGGGTTCAGGGGGAGGTGGAGTGGGGGATGGAGGGCTTAGGTCTTGCCCAGGCCTGCTTGGGACAGGAAGA